CGAGTGATATATGGTATTTTTCTTTCTCTTTCTGGCTTACTTCACTTAGAATGATAATCTCCAGTTTTATCCATGTTACTGCAAATGCATTATTTTATTCTTTTTAATGGCTGAGTAGTATTCCATTGTATAAATATACCACAACTTCTTTATCCAGTCATCTGTCGATGGACATTTAGGTTGTTTCTGTGTCTTGACTATTGTAAATAGTGCTGCTACAAACATTGGGGTACATGTATCTTTTTGAATTAAGGTTCCCTCTGGATATATGCCCAGCAGTGGGACTTCTGGATCATATGGTAAGTCTCTTTTTAGTCTTTTGAGGAATCTCCATACTGTTTTCCACAATGGCTGCACCTAACTGCATTCCCACCAGCAGTATAGGAAGGTTCCCTTTTCTCCACACCCTCTCCAGCATTTATTGTTTGTGGAATTCTGAATGATGGTCATTCTGACTGGTGTGAGGTGATACCTCATTGTAGTTTTGATTTGCATTTCTCTGATAATTAGTGATATTGAGCATTTTTCATGTGCTTATTGACCTTTTGTATATCTTCATTGGAGAATTGCTTGTTTAGGTCTTCTGCCATTTTTGGATTGGGTTGTTTGCTTTTATGTTATTGAGTTGTATGAGCTGTTTATGTATTCTGGAAATTAAGCCTTTGTCAGTTGCATCATTTGCAAATATTTTCTCCTGTTCCATAGGTTGTCATTTTGTTTTGCTTATGGTTTCCTTTGCTGTGCAAAAGCTTATAAGTTTAATTAGGTCCCATTTGTTAATTTTTGCTTTTGTTTCTATTGCCTGGGTAGACTGCCCTAGGAGAACATTGCTAAGATTTATGTCAGAGAATGTTTTGCCTATGTTTTCTTCTAAGAGGTTTATTGTGTCTTGTCTTATATTTCTTTAAGCCATTTTGGGGTTTATTTTTGTGTGTGGTGTGAGGGAGTATTCTGACTTCATTGATTTACATGCTGCTATCTAATTTTCACAACACCATTTGCTGAAGAGACTGTCTTTCCTCTATTGTATATTCTTGCCTCCTTCATTGAAGATTAATTGACTGTAGGCCTGTGGGTTTATTTCTAGGCTCTCTATCATGTTCTGTTGATCCATATGTCTGTTTTTATGCCAATACCATGCTGTTTTGATTACTGTAGCTCTGTAGTATTGCCTGAAGTCTGGGAGGGTTATTGCTCCAGCTTTGTTCTTTTTCTTCAATATTGCTTTGGCAATTCTGTATCTTTTGTGATTCCATGTGAATTTTAGGATTATTTGTTCTATTTCTGTGAAAAATGCCCTGGGTAATTTGATAGGGATTGCATTAAATTTGTAGATTGCCTTGGGAAGTATGGCCATTTTAACAATATTGATACTTCTAATTCTAGAGCATGCGTTATCTTTCCATTTCTTTAAGTCATCTTTAATTTCCTTAATCAGTGTTTTGTAGTTCTCCATGTATAAGTCTTTCAACTCCTTGGTCAGATTTATTCCTAAGTATTTTATTGTTTTGGATGTAATTTTAAGAGGGATTGTTTCTTTACTTTCTTTTCCTGCTAATTCATCATTAGTATAAAGAAATGCAACTGATTTTTGTATGTTAATCTTGTATCCTGCTACCTTGCCGAATTCTTTTATTAGCTCTAGTAGTTTTTGTGTGGAGCTTTTGGGGTTTTCTATTTATAGTATCATGTTATCTGCATATAGTGACAGTTTTACCTCTTCTCTTCCAATTTGGATCCCTTTTATTTCTTTTTCTTGCCTGATTGCTGTGTCTAGGACTTCCAAGTTTATGTTGAATAGAAGTGGTGAGAGTGGGCATCCTTGTCTTGTTCCAGATTTTAGTGGGAAGGCTTTCGGTTTTTCACCACTGAGTATTGTACTGGCTGTGGGTTAAAAACACCTTCTGAACTTTATTTTAGCCAAGGACTCTCAAACTTTTTGACTGTAGAACCGCTCATTTGGGGACTCTCCGTTTATAATCTTTAGACGTGCTAGTGTTCCTTTGGGACCACCTCTCTTAGCTTGATGCTTTCTAGAATTGGGCATCCAGGAGTTCCAAGAAGCCTTGGCATGTCGTGGAAACTCCACCTGTCAAATGGGAGCACTGCTCACTTCTCAGGGCTGTGAGGATAACTGGTCTGGCACGTGGAAGGGGCCCAGACCAGGGCCTGGCGTGCAGTGAGTACCCCATTAATGTTAGTTCAGCTGTCGTGCCCAGGGAAACTGGGCCATGATGTAGGTAGTAGACCCCAGAATGGCAGTAACCCCAGTAACCAGCACTTCCCATCTGGGCACACACATCTGCTAGTTAATCAGGGGACCATCTTACTGACCTGTTTAGTAGGAACAGATCACAGTCCTTGTTGAGGCTGACCTTCAAGACTGAACCCCTGAAAAGTGCCCTGTGGCCTTTCTAGAATGACAGAGGTTGGGGCAAGCAGTTGCCCTTTCTATTCTTCTTAAAAGTGTCCCTGTGTCTCATGGGAACTCTGGATCTGCACCTGGCATTCTGTGGCATGTGAGGGAGGGGAGGGACACAGCTGCTTCTCAGTCCTGGAAACAGACACCTCATCTTATACCAACGAGGGCGTGGAGTTCCTTTCACAATAAACTGATGGTTTCCTAGTCAGTTGTCTCATTTCTTGGCAGACCTTCTTCTCTGTGGGCCCAGGTGATCTCTTACCACCCCCTTTCCCTGAGGCAGAGAGCATATTTATCTGTAGTTGGTGAAGGGTAGATCTTGGAAGCTCCATATCTTTGAAAATGCCTGGAAAAATGAACAGTGACCAAGTGCTAAGTTTTAAATGGGGGTCCACTTGGCTTTGTAGATGGGACTCGGGCTTTGGGGCCAGAACGTGGGCTGGGATGCCAGTTTTCCCGGTTATTGGCTGTGAGACCTTGGGCAGGTCACCTCACTTCTCTAGTCCTGTTTCTTCCTCCCCTAGACACAGATTCTTTTTGCTCCCTCACAGGGAGAAGGGCTGCATGGACTGGGAAGGGGTGAGTTAATGAATGATGAACACAGAGGATCTAGGGCAGTGTCTGGCTATTTCCTGCTTGTTCAAACCCCACTTCTCCCTAAGTTAAATTACAAATTTAATAGAAATATCACAGTCTATTTGCTAGAGTTAGAATCATTGTACTAAAATTAATATAGAAAACAAACATTCAGGAATAACCAGGAAACCACTGAAAAAAGCAAAAGTACAATGGAAGACTAGCCTTACCAGACACTAAAACAAACTATAAAACCTCTGTAATTAAGACAGTGTGGTACTGGTGCATGAATAGACAAACAGACCAGTGGGATACAGAGTCCAGGAACAGACTTAATTACATGTACATGTGATAAAGATGGCATCTCAGATCATTGAGGTAAAGATAGACTTTTTAATAAATGGTTGCTGAGAAGATAAAAATTGATCCACAGCTCACATATTACCCATGAATGAACTCCAAATGGTTAGGAATCTAAATGTAAAAAAAAAAAAAAAAAAAAAAAAA